GGGTTCATACCGCCACAAGGATTCGAAAGGTTGATATATCGTCTCGTATCTTAAAGCACAAAGTAACAGAAATGCATTGTATATACAAATTTGCAAGCTAATTTCACATCACATTTCCTTCATATACACACACTGGATTTGACCTATTCTTAAATTAATGCATCTAAATTAAACATTCTTGATAAGAAATTTAAAATAAATATAAATTTTTGCCATCACCTTAGTAATCGCTCTTTATAAGATACGTGTTTGAGACAATGAGACATCGATATGCTATAGTATTTTCACAAATAAATTAATTATGATTTCTAATCGACACGGTAAGAAGAGGAAGTTTTCTTATGTACACTAAAGATAGAAATGGTTTTAAAGCAGTTGGAATTTAAACGGGAATCAAAATAAACTGGTCCCAAATTGTTCCTGACATTACTAAACCTAATTTGACATCGGAACATAACCTCCACCGGCCCATTGCCCTTTCTACCAATGTAGGTTATACTACTACCCCGTCTTGAAAGGCAGTCTCACGGTCTATGTGAAATGTCAAATCGTATTTATTTACGACCTTATAGACTTACGAGATGCAACTTCTTTTGTTCATTTCACAGGTTAACAAATTACACGTAAAATAGTCAAATTTGCAACCTGACGATCAGCTTCGTCAATAGGCACTAAAATTTAAAAAATAAACTGGTATATACAAGAGATTTATTTAATAAACATCAATATTCTGTTGATAGTTTTTTTTAAATATAATGACTGATTTTTTACCTGAGAGCTTGTTTCTCAGTTCAGCTTTCCACAACCAGGTTATATTACGTTTAGAAAGGTTTTTACTACACTGTTTCAGGCGTCCAAATTACTTAAATTACATCTATATGTATGTAGTTTTCTTTTATTAAATTGTATATGTGTTGTATGTAAATATCTATTTATATGATCTTGTTGAAGGCTGAATAGGATTACGTCTCTTAATTGAATTTTCCACTTTATAAAGTACCCGTCCTATTTAAAGCGAATTAATGTAAATTGGCCGAACGACAGAAACAAGGAACTTTAATGCCGTTTTTGTTGACATCCTACAGCTACTTCTAATATTTAAATTCATTTCTTCTTTAAACTTAACTGCGTAATTTTTGGACCTGTCAAATTAAATCTAAAGAAAGTTGTTCTACATATAAGTCGCAACATCATCTTGTAGCATTATTATGAAGTCAACAAAATCCAGTTTTCCAACTCGGATTTTTGCTTCAGATTTCCACCTTTTAACGTGATTACATAAAAGACGCGCCAGGGAATTTAATATTGTCATTATTTGTCTTATGTAATTCGATGTACGGTTCAGAGAAATTGACCATTTGACGTGATTATGTAATTCGATACATAATGTATTGAGGTAAGTTAGCAGATTATTGATTTTGCAATTAAAATTCGCATGTGTCAGATGTGAGAGTTTGAAGGTGGGCCTTATTTTCAACATTTCTTTTTACATGTCAACGGCGCGTCAACTTTTACGATTAACTCGATTTAGAACTCGTGTCATTTTTAAAGTAAATAATATTACTGATTATCACTAACTACAGGTTTTTTAGCACGATTTGACATATTATTGTCTCATTTCTAACTACTGATGAACTAGTAGGGTTCATCAAGTCTGAAAAACTATAAAAAGGCATACCGTAATAAGAAACATG